GGCCGGGGGGAGGCGCCCCGGAAGGTCTCCCCGACCAATCAGGGAGCCGCAGGCCCGGCATCCCGGTGATGCCCCGTGCCGTGCCTCACAGCTCGACCCCGAAAACACCGGCTTCATTGGGGTGGAGACGTTCGCCAGCCTCGTCCCCAGCCATGAGCTGCCCCTGGACCCCGCCAAGCTGGACATGCTGGTGGCCCTGGCACAGGGCAACGACGAGGGGCAGGTCTGCTATCAGGAGCTGGTAGACCTGGTCAGTGCCGGGGGGCCACAGGGACGGGGGCGAACGGCCGGGTGCCAGCCCGGGGTGGGCACTGGGCACCTCCCTGTGCCCCTGGGGAGGGGGGCAGACGCCGGTGGTCCCCAGGGTCTCCCCTGGCGTGGGATGATGGCACGACCTTGGGGTGGCTTGTTCGGCCGGTCCCACCGGGGTGGCGGCGATGGGCAGGGGGTGGCCACAAGCCCACCGGCCCGAGCTGCCCCTGCGGCCCCCGCGGGCACGGCCTCTCTCCGCAGATCAGCAGCAAGCGCTCGAGCAGCTTCAAGCGCGCCATCGCCAACGGGCAGCGAGCCCTGCCCCGCGACGTGTTGCTGGACGAGACCGGCCTGGGCTTCTACAAGCGCTTCGTCCGCTACGTGGCCTACGAGATCCTGCCCTGTGAGATGGACCGGCGCTGGTACTTCTACCAGCACCGCACGTGTCCGCCCCCCGTCTTCATGGCAGCCGTCACCCTCACCCAGGTATGGGGCTGGCACCAAGGCTGAGCCTGGCTGAAGTGTCCCAGTGCCCATGGGGGGCTCAGACCGGGGGTGGAGGGGACAGGTGCCACCAGTTGTGATGTCCTGGTGGCTGTGGATGCCTCAGACCCAGGATGGAGGGGACGGGTGACCCCAGTTGTGATGTCCCAGTGCCCATATGGGGGGCTCAGACCTGGCATGGAGGGGACGGGTGACCCTGGTGGTGTCCTGGTGCCCATATGAGGGGCTCAGACCCAGGGTGGAGGGGATGGGTGACCCCAGTTGTGATGTCCTGGTGGCCGTGGAAGGGCTCAGACCTGAGGCAGAGGGGATGGGTGACCCTGGTTGTGGTGTCCCGGTGGCCATGGGGGGCTCAGACCCAGGGCAGAGGGGACAGGTGACCCTGGTTGTGATGTGTCCTGGTGCCCATATGTGGTCTCAGACCCAGGGTGGAGGGGATGGGTGACCCCAGTTGTGATGTCTCGGTGCCCACATGGGGGCCTCAGACGCAGGACGGAGGCCACGGGTGACCCAGTTGTGATGTGCCGGTGGCTATATGGGGTCTCAGACCTGGGGTGGAGGGGACGGGTGACCCTGGCTGTGATGTCCTGGTGACCATTTGGGGCTCAGACCCGGGGCAGAGGTGCCAGGTGCCCCACGTCCCAGCACCCTGCCCCAGGCCAGAGGGACGGGTGGGGGTCTCGGCAGTACCAGGGCTGACGGCCGTGGGGTTTGGTGCAGATCATCGTGTTCCTCTGCTACGGGGCCCGCCTGAACAAGTGGGTGCTGCAGACCTACCACCCCGAGTACATGAAGAGCCCCCTGGTCTACCACCCCGGGCACCGGGCGCGCGCCTGGCGCTTCGTCACCTACATGTTCATGCACGTGGGGTAGGTCCCTGCTGGGCAGGGTGGGGGGGGAGGACACTGGGGGGCTGCGTGGGCGGAGCCACCGCGTGTCCCCTCCTGTGCCCGGGCAGGCTGGAGCAGCTGGGGTTCAACGCCCTCCTGCAGCTGATGATCGGGGTGCCCCTGGAGATGGTGCACGGCATCCTGCGCATCAGCTTCCTCTACCTGGCTGGCGTCCTGGCAGGTGGGGGCATGCCCGGGGGGGGGGAGCTGCCCCCACCGGTCCCCCACCCGGCCGGGGCTGCGGTCCCTGTCACCAGCCCTGGGGAGGGCAGGGGGAGATGCACCCCGAGTTTGATGGGGATGCAGGGCTTCGCCCCCACCCGGCCGGGGCTGCGGTCCCTGTCACCAGCCCTGGGGAGGGCAGGGGGAGATGCACCCCGAGTTTGATGGGGATGCAGGGCTTCGCTCGCCGCCCGCTCTTGACCGCTGGGTACCCCCCTGCACCGGCGCAGGCGCTGCCAGCATCACTCGCCCCGGGGGGCTGGGGGGCAGTCAGCCCGTAAATTAATTAATGTGGACTGTAATTAATTAATGCTATGGGGGGCGAGGCCCCGCGCTGAGCCCTACCCGTGCC